GTGTTGTGTACATACACGCGGAATGGGTTCCTTCGCTTCCCGCTACAAACGGCGCATTCGTCGCATGGCGCAGTCGCCTTTCGTGCGTCTGGTCCTCGGCTTTCGTTCAGCGTCCTTAGCGGGTACATGCCGACATGGCACACCTGCCCGCGAAGAGCCTTGGACGCCATGGCAACGGTGATGGGCAGTTTTCCCTCCCGCCACGTGTATTTAACGTGTGGTGGGAACGCGTCAAAGTGGGGTGCGTAATGGTCGAACGGCCATCACCAGAGGCATGACGCCGCGTTTTGTAATTTTCACAAATTTTGAAGCCAAACGTCCGTACACAACCCCTTTCCTAACACTCCCTTTCCTCTGTCCCTCCTTCCTCTTCGCCAGACACGCCGACGTATTACAGTACGGTACTAGCACCGTCCTCACCAGCGCTGACCCTGTCGCTTCTACGGCGCGCAGCGGGTGGAGATGGCACGTGACCGTCGACGGCCCCCACACAGTGCAATTGCAGTAGCCTGGCCTGTCACGGGATTGGCTACATATCCGGACGTCTCTTTATTAAAGTATGGAGCTTTCCATACAAACACGAAGCTATAGATTGGATATCGTATTATAATGCCAGCATGACTAACGCCTTGGAAATCCGGATAAGCCGCGCGTCGAACCTTTGTAAGTAAACACGATGATGGACGGGCCGAAATGGCATCATTCTTTGACCGGTGGCACTGCCAGCGCATGATGATGTCGTCGTCGTCGGTCGCTCCTCGGCGCCCGTCGTCGCCTCGCCTCCGCGCGCTCTCGTCCTCGTCCAGCATCAGCGACGAGCGCGAGGCTGTGGCCGTGCGCCGCGCCAACAGCGCGGCCAAGATGCCCGTCGTGACGCCGGACCGCTGCAAAGGCTGCCTCCGCCTCTTCTCCAAGATGCTCACGACCAAGCAGTGTTTCCGCGTACGTCTTTTGAATCTGCAACCGCGATGGCGCCACTGACCGCCTTCTTCTGTCTAGTGCAAGAACTACGTGTGCGCGCTCTGTGTCTTCAAGGTGCCCATGTTTCATGGCGAGAAGGGCAAGCTGCCCAAGCACTCGCTCCACGCGCGGCTCTGCGCATCGTGCTACGACGAAAGCATCCTCTGCGACAACAGCACCAACAGCGCGAGCAGCCAGCCCGAGATGAGCCCGCCGTCGGGGCGCGACACCGCCGGTCACTTTGACGACGACGCCTGCGACGACTGCGCCTGCGCCCCCGCGCCCATTGTCGTCGCTGGCCCGAGCAGCACGGCGTCGCTCTGGCTTTCTCTCGTTACGGGCTCGCTCATGCTCGGCGTTGTGCTTCTCGAGTCGACCGATTTTCACGTCCGCGCCGGTAGCCTCGTCGGTTTGTACGTGGTTTTTGTCGTCATCCATCCGCTCTGGAAGTCTCCGTCGACGCCACTGCCGACGCCGAAACCTCGACGAATGTCCAAGGCGAAGCGAGACCCGAGCGAAACCGCGTCTTCGGACGACGAAGATGAGCCTTCGATCAACATGGAGGCGGTTCTCCTTGCCAAGAAGGAATGGCTCGAAGCCCGCTGGAGCGAGCTCACGTCGGAACAAGCTGCTTGGGTCAAGAACGAGTCCAAGTCGACGGCGAGCATTACGCTCTCGGAGCTCGACTGCGGCGACGACGTGCCCGTGTGCATCAAGGTCGAGGCGTTTGTGCCCAACACGAGTGCTGACGAGATCCTCTCGTTTATTGGCAACCCGGACCCAAAAGAACGCATCAAGTGGGATTCCCACATGGCCAGTACGTTTTGTTTCAATGTATCGACTTGCACTGATCCAATGGGTGTAGCGCACACGGTGGTCGAGAGCGTCGAGTGGCCAGTGACCAACCAATCGGGTCGCGTCGTGCACAACGTGCAGAAGAGCCATGGCATGGGCCTCGTGCCGTCGCGGGACTTTGTCTTGCTCGCGCTGCGCAAGTCGCCGACGATCTACGTCCAAGGCAGCCTCGAGCACCCGAGCGTACCGGACCGACCTGGCAGCGTCCGTGGGGTGCTCCATATTCTCGGCTTTGAGTGCGTGCCCACTGACGACGGCGTGCACTTGACGTACATCAATCACGTCGACATTCGGGGGTCGCTTCCGCGCAAGCTCGTCACCAACGGCACGTGTGACAACATGATGAAGCTCATGACGACCGCCGTCCAAGCCAAAAAGAAGTGGCTCGTGTAAACTGAAATTTTGCGTTTTTGATGCCCGATTGAATATATGTAGATAGTATTACTATTTTGCATGTTGGCCACTTGTCATGTACAGAGCCACCACCGATGCGACGAGACCGTCCAGGATTGCACGGCAGCAGAGACGAGTCTCGTCATCGTCCTCGTTCTTGTCGCGACCCGGAGACTCCAGAAACAACTGCAGCAACTGAGCGTCGTCGTCGGCCAACGAGTTCGACGAGCTGCTCTTTTTCAAAAACGTCGAAGCGTCACCGGGTTCGAAATGTGTACCAAACGGCGGCGGTGGGTCGTGCAACCCGTCCAGAGGCGATGGCATCGTTCGTGGACTCTTCTCTTCTGCGGGCTCGAAGGGTAGAGTGCTGGGTACAACGGGAGCCTCGAGCTCGAGCTCGGGTGGCAAATGGACGTCCGTGGTGCGGGGTGAGCGACCTTTGTCGCTGCCGAGTTGTGCCAGATTCGACTCGAAAGAGAGCACAGTATCTTCCAACTGAAGTAACATGGGCGGTTCGTGCAGCGTCTCGACCATTTCGGTGGCAAGTGACGAGGTATTCTCCAAAGCAGCGACAACCGCGCCGTGTATCACTGCCTCGTCAGCTTGTGTTGTCGCGTTCACGCCGTTGCATTCTGGTATCATGTCGCGCGTCAGGATGGCATCGACGAGGTCGGCCACACAGGCAACGACCTCTGGCAGCGGCGCCTCCAGCGTATCCAGAATCGTGAGTGCGACCACTGTCTTTGTGCCGTTGGCGTCGGCAATGGCAAGCTCCAGCCGCGTCTTGTGCCCAAGTGTTGTAGCTGGATTGCTTCGCACGGGGCTAAAGATGCGCGGGGTCGGACACCGACCACTGCTGGCCGTCTAGGGAGCATTATGAATTTCTGAACGACCGGATGGAGGCTACCTGTGGCCGTGGACGCTTTGGTGGTGTTGCCAGTGCAGAGGTACTTGCTGTTGACCGGGCCCATGCCGTGGCCGACTGCGGTCGCCGAGCATTCGGTGTTGGCGACGGGTCGACAACAACAATGTCCTTGTGCAGCACAGGGCTCAAGGCCAGAAGGCGCGGCGTTGGGCATCCCGTTAAATCCACAATGTTGGGTTTCGTGGGCGTCTGTTTGATGAAATATCCAACCGAGCGCGAGGTAAGAAGTAATGAGACCTTGGGGACGCGGGGGGTCGGCGCGATCTTTTTCGCCGCTGGTGGCTTGGTTGGGATCGCAGGCTTCTCTGGCACATCGCACCCACCCACGTAGCCGAACGACTGCAATAAGCTCTTCCACGCACTCGGCGTGCGCCATGGGTCTGCGTCCACAGACCCACGCTCGCTCTTGTTCGTCTTGGTGGCGCTCGTCACCTGCACAAAAGTGCGAGATGTTTTACAGGGTACTTGCTATACGTGGACGAGTGTATCCAAGCGCTTCCAAAGGACGTCGGCGCGAGGATGCTGCTTCCCAACGCTAGCGACCGTCACTTCATAAGCTTTTCGACACGCTTGGAGCGCGTCGGCCGTCTGCCTGTCGTTCAAAATCAAGTAAAAGCGCGAGAGCTCGACCTCGTGCTGTTTCTCTTGGTGGACGCTGAAGTCGTACAGTGCGCGACCTAGCAGCTGTGCCCACTCGTCGCGCTGCCGCCGTGCGACCACCGGAGCTTGCGCCGCGGCCAAAAGCACTTCGAACGCGACGCCCGCCTAGGGTCGTCAAGTGAGAATATGGTAGACTTTAGCTGCGTACCGCCGTGCGAGCGTGGAATGCACCTGCGTCCAACAGTTGTAGTTCCGTCGAGACTGCGCCAAGGTGTAGATGCGCTCGTGCAATCTCGATACGCGCCAGTAAAAGCGCGTGGTTGGGAGTTGTATCTATGCCAAAGAACTTGAAATTGTAGCGACTATCACGTAAGGTACCTAAAAGTGCGAGCTCCAAGAGGCCATAATGGCAGTCGAGTGCCTTGTAGAGATATGCCAATGCCTCTTTGCGCGCCTCTAGTCACAATAGGTCAGTACTTCTATCGAGGTGGACAATGTACGCTGTGCATGACACGTGGCAGCGAGATCCGTCAAGAGCTCGAGCCGGCTGCGCAGCCACGTATGCCGCTGGCTCAACGTGAGCTCGCTTGCAGCGTCGCCTTGCACCGATAGCCAGTGGTTCACCGCATCATGCAGGGGCAGTGCGCACAGCAGCAACCGGCGCGCTTCCGACGGCTCTAGACGTACATGAATATGCGCGAAGCACCGAGATGGACACCCACGGAGGGCTACGTGGAGACGCGTGAGGTCGGTGAAGTGCTGCGAGGCCTTGAGCGCAGCCTTGGCTGTCGGCCATGTTGGGGGTCGTCTCAGAAATAAGTGTTCTTCGCGCTCGAGCAGCGCAGCGAGTGCCGAGACGCACCGGGCGGCCAGCGGTGCGTCGAGACCCATGGCCGCAAAGGTATTTTCGCAGCCGTTTCAGTATCGGACAAGCGTCCTGTCTACGAGCGTTTTACAAAAAGGGATTTGTCTGAACGGCAATGTGGTTCTTGTGGTCGTGCTCGAGATACTGCCGTCATCTCCTTCGCCTACTCTGGTACCACGCGCCAGATCACCGGCGCCACGGCCCACAACGCGTCCGATGTCACCGGTCCCATTTGACGCGCGAAAGTCCCACCAAACCAACACCAGACCGCATGCAGCCGGGCATGCAGCCGACAGCATCGCAGAGGTTGAACGGGCGGATGGTCGCCGGCCTCTTGAACGTCGTGGCGCTTGAGGCACGAGCGACGCAGTGCAGCGGTTCGTGGTCGAGCGACTGGTTCGTGGCGCCGAGTTGAGGCTCTCTCGGATCTCGCTTGTGGCTTCGTCGCGAGTCGAGCGAGCAGCCACATCACAGCGTCGTCGTCAGCCAGGATGTACTCATCGTATATAGCTCACGTCATTGTCTGGCGCCGAGCGCGAAGAGAATACGGACGCCATCTTCTCATTCGGCCCAGCTTCGATGAGTTTAGGCCTTGACCGACGAGAAACTCAACCACGAATGACGTCGCAGTCGATGCCACGCGTGGTGGCATGATATCACCGTGGTTGCACTAGGATCGTAGTGGCCCGAGCCGTTGGCAAGATCATAGAACCTGAGAGGATAGGAGGCTGAGGGATTTTACATGCATACGCTACACAGCAGCACCTCGAACGCACCACGAGAAGATCGAGTGCACGCGGCAAGGAACAGCGGAGGCAGTCGAACGGCAAGACGTGCAGGACCGAGAAGAGGTTAACGTCGTAGCTGCACTTGGTGTACGCCACGCAGAGGCCGGTGGCCACGTGGCGTGGAAGGGCCAACTTGTTGGTGGCAATCGTTGCGAGCAGCCACCAGTCCTTGCCTCATTCGTCAAGCTGCTGCACTAGAACTGGTGTACGCCACGATCACCGAGAGATGAAATCGCAGAAAGCTCTCGGTTGGCACCGCGTGTACGACGACGTCGACCGACTCGGCGTGTGCATGATGTCAAGCAATGACAGCAGCGTAACGACGCCGTCGTCAGTATTTGGCACCTGGTGGCGCACGCCATCGTTTTTCAGTTTCGCGCATCGTCTCGTTGCGGCGCGCGCAAGATTTCGATGTCGCTGTACCACTCCCACACCTATATAGTTGGACTCGTCATTAAGTTTCACCGCGGGGCCATGATACTTTCTCTTTGTATGGAAAGAGGTGATAGATTCGTGTTAAGTCATTATGAAGTCGATAGGGCTGCGTCCGTCGTTATCAGTAGCCAATCACAACGCGTAAAACGTCCCGTAATCTGTAGCACTCAATGCGAGCACACCATTGAATCACGACTCTAATATCAGCTCGCACAGCCGCACGAGTACCCAACGACTAGGGTGCAGTTTCGTCTAGGGCTCTATGCGTATACCCATGCCGAGCCACGATAGCTATGTCGCTCAGGTCCCGAGTGTGCGTGGGTATGTGCAGAAACAACGAGGCACCCACGTGAACATCCTTGGTGATCAACCACTGCGCACCCTCTCTAGCAAGTTCAAAGGCAATCTCACTCTGGAGCGCGTCCGCGATAGCCACCGCAATGTTGAGTACACAAAACAAAATAGGGAGGCAGGTGACAGGGCTGTTGACCAAAGTGCAATAGCGTTGGGTTGGTGAGCTCGAAGGTGGGAAACGTCGTGGATGACACGATCTCGGCAAGAAGAAAGCGCAGAGCTCTGGAGGTGGATCAGAAGATACCACTCAGGATACTACTTGTTGCAGCAATTGGGAAACACCGTCGTCGTCTGTCGTTCCTTTCGCCAATTCAACGAGCAGCCTCAGGAGGTATATCGTACGCAGCGTCAACAACGACCACGCCCCAGAGCGATCCTCGCACACAACTTTTGTGTGTGACCGAGGTTGCCGATGGCTGCTATGGCACATGGCCGATCCCGATCCAAGGGAGTATCGTACTGTACAAATGTACCACTGTGCACTTCTTTGGTCATTCCTTATATGCAACGCTCGTACAATTGTAGCACTACTCTCCAAGTGTAAAAAAGGTGATATTCTCTAGAAACAACAGACAAAAGCCAGCTCTAAACCGTGGAGGCTTGTACCCGACCAGATTGGCTACTGGGCCCACGAATCTTGGCAGGCCTGTCGACCGCCCTCCCAGCTGTGGCATTCGCTCAGCCAGTTGTTTTCATCACATTTCTTATCAATTGACAACCTGCGCCTTATTACGCAAGGGGAGCACATGATGCAAGGGGAGCTACCACTCGCCCTACAAGCACGATATGTGCGCAACAAAACCCAGAGCATGAATACCTTATTATCGAGCAGTCATAACTCGAACAAGAGGAACTGGGGAGCAATGCCCATCCTACACAATCATCATATTCCACACATGACAAACCCAGTCAAACAACAACAACAACAA